ATCAGATACTACGTCAGATACTACATCAGATACTACGTCAGATACTACGTCAGATACTACGTCAGATACTACGTCAGATACTACATCAGATACTACGTCATATACTACGTCAGATACTACGTCAGATTCTACGTCAGATACTACATCAGATACTACGTCAGATACTACATCAGATACTACGTCAGATACTACGTCAGATACTACGTCATATACTACGTCAGATACTACATCAGATACTACGTCAGATACTACGTCAGATACTACGTCAGATACTACGTCATATACTACGTCAGATACTACATCAGATACTACGTCATATACTACATCATATACTACGTCAGATACTACATCAGATACTAAGTCAGATACTACATCAGATACTACGTCAGATACTACATCAGATACTACGTCATATACTACGTCAGATACTACGTCAGATACTACGTCAGATACTACATCAGATACTACGTCATATACTACGTCAGATACTACATCAGATACTACGTCATATACTACATCATATACTACGTCAGATACTACATCAGATACTAAGTCAGATACTACATCAGATACTACGTCATATACTACGTCAGATACTACATCAGATACTACGTCAGATACTACGTCAGATACTACATCAGATACTACGTCATATACTACGTCAGATACTACGTCAGATACTACATCAGATACTACGTCAGATACTACGTCATATACTACGTCAGATACTACATCAGATACTACGTCAGATACTACGTCAGATACTACATCAGATACTACGTCATATACTACGTCAGATACTACGTCAGATACTACATCAGATACTACGTCAGATACTACGTCAGATACTACATCAGATACTACGTCATACTACGTCAGATACTACATCAGATACTACGTCATATACTACATCATATACTACGTCAGATACTACATCAGATACTACGTCAGATACTACGTCAGATACTACGTCAGATACTACATCAGATACTACGTCATATACTACGTCAGATACTACATCAGATACTACGTCAGATACTACATCAGATACTAAGTCAGATACTACATCAGATACTACGTCATATACTACGTCAGATACTACGTCATATACTACATCAGATACTACATCAGATACTAAGTCAGATACTACATCATATACTACATCAGATACTACATCATATACTACATCAGATACTACATCAGATACTACATCATATACTACATCAGATACTACATCATATACTACATCATATACTACATCATATACTACGTCATATACTACGTCAGATACTACATCAGATACTAAGTCAGATACTACATCATATACTACATCATATACTACATCATATACTACGTTATATACTACGTCAGATACTACATCAGATACTAAGTCAGATACTACATCATATACTACATCAGATACTACATCAGATACTACATCATATACTACATCATATACTACATCAGATACTACATCAGATACTACATCAGATACTACATCATATACTACATCATATACTACATCAGATACTACATCATATACTACGTCAGATACTACGTCAGATACTACATCAGATACTACATCAGATACTACATCATATACTACATCATATACTACACCAGATACTACATCATATACTACATCAGATACTACATCAGATACTACATCAGATACTACATCATATACTACATCAGATACTACATCATATACTACATCAGATACTACATCAGATACTACATCATATACTACATCAGATACTACATCATATACTACATCAGATACTACATCAGATACTACATCAGATACTACATTATATACTACATCAGATACTACATCAGATACTAAGTCAGATACTACATCATATACTACATCAGATACTACATCAGATACTACATCATATACTACATCAGATACTACATCAGATACTACATCATATACTACATCAGATACTAAGTCAGATACTACATCAGATACTACATCAGATACTAAGTCAGATACTACATCATATGCTACATCAGATACTACATCAGATACTACATCAGATACTAAGTCAGATACTACATCAGATACTAAGTCAGATACTACATCAGATACTACATCAGATACTACATCAGATACTACATCAGATACTACGTCAGATACTACGTCAGATACTACATCAGATACTACATCAGATACTATATCAGATACTACATCAGATACTACATCATATACTACATCAGATACTACATCATATACTACGTCAGATACTACGTCAGATACTACATCAGATACTACATCATATACTACATCATATACTACATCATATATCAGATACTACATCAGATACTACATCAGATACTACATCATATACTACATCATATACTTCATCAGATACTGTGTGTTTGTGTGACAGATGAAAGGAAGCCGAGTGGTCACAGGGTGGTGGGGGACGTCCACTTTGCATCAGCCAGTCAGAGAGCAGGATTCATCACACCTGTTCCAGGAGGGGTGGGGCCTATGACCGTGGCCATGCTCATGGAGGTTACCTTTACCTTTACCATTACCCTTACCTTTACCTTAACCTTTACCCTTACCCTTACCTTTACCTTAACCTTTACCTTACCTTGCAGAGGTAACCTTTACCTGTTTGTGTTGCAGAACACGGTGCAGAGCGCACGCCACTTCCTCCTGAAGATCAAGGCGGGGGGCTGAACCATGCAGGTAAACACCCACCTGTCAGTCTGAGCTGAGGGTAACACCTGTCAGTCTGAGCTGAGGGTAACACCTGTAAGTCAGAGCTCAGGGTAACACCTTCCAGTCTGAACTCAGGGTAACACCTGTCAGTCTGAGCTCAGGGTAACACCTGTCAGTCTGAGCTGAGGGTAACACCTGTCAGTCTGAGCTCAGGGTAACACCTGTCAGTCAGAGCTCAGGGTAACATCTGTAAGTCAGAGCTCAGGGTAACACCTGTCAGTCTGAGCTGAGTGTAACATCTGTAAGTCAGAGCTCAGGGTAACACCTTCCAGTCTGAACTCAGGGTAACACCTGTCAGTCTGAGCTCAGGGTAACACCTGTCAGTCTGAGCTGAGGGTAACACCTGTCAGTCTGAGCTCAGGGTAACACCTGTCAGTCAGAGTTCAGGGTAACACCTTCTGAGCTCAGGGTAACACCTGTTAGTCAGAGTTCAGGGTAACACCTGTCAGTCTGAGCTGAGGGTAACACCTGTCAGTCTGAGCTCAGGGTAACACCTGTTAGTCAGAGTTCAGGGTAACACCTGTCAGTCTGAGCTGAGGGTAACACCTGTCAGTCTGAGCTCAGGGTAACACCTGTCAGTCTGAGCTGAGGGTAACACCTGTCAGTCTGAGCTGAGGGTAACACCTGTCAGTCAGAGTTCAGGGTAACACCTGTCAGTCTGAGCTGAGGGTAACACCTGTCAGTCTGAGCTCAGGGTAACACCTGTCAGTCAGAGTTCAGGGTAACACCTTCTGAGCTCAGGGTAACACCTGTTAGTCAGAGTTCAGGGTAACACCTGTCAGTCTGAGCTGAGGGTAACACCTGTCAGTCTGAGCTCAGGGTAACACCTGTCAGTCTGAGCTGAGGGTAAAACCTGTCAGTCTGAGCTGAGGGTAACACCTGTCAGTCTGAGCTCAGGGTAACACCTGTTAGTCAGAGTTCAGGGGAACACCTGTCAGTCAGAGTTCAGGGTAACACCTGTCAGTCTGAGCTGAGGGTAACACCTGTCAGTCTGAGCTCAGGGTAACACCTGTCAGTCTGAGCTGAGGGTAACACCTGTCAGTCTGAGCTGAGGGTAACACCTGTCAGTCAGAGTTCAGGGTAACACCTGTCAGTCTGAGCTGAGGGTAACACCTGTCAGTCTGAGCTCAGGGTAACACCTGTCAGTCAGAGTTCAGGGTAACACCTTCTGAGCTCAGGGTAACACCTGTTAGTCAGAGTTCAGGGTAACACCTGTCAGTCTGAGCTGAGGGTAACACCTGTCAGTCTGAGCTCAGGGTAACACCTGTTAGTCAGAGTTCAGGGGAACACCTGTCAGTCAGAGTTCAGGGTAACACCTGTCAGTCTGAGCTGAGGGTAACACCTGTCAGTCTGAGCTGAGGGTAACACCTGTCAGTCTGAGCTGAGGGTAACACCTGTCAGTCTGAGCTGAGGGTAACACCTGTCAGTCTGAGCTCAGGGTAACACCTGTTAGTCAGAGTTCAGGGGAACACCTGTCAGTCAGAGTTCAGGGTAACACCTGTCAGTCTGAGCTGAGGGTAACACCTGTCAGTCTGAGCTCAGGGTAACACCTGTCAGTCAGAGTTCAGGGTAACACCTTCTGAGCTCAGGGTAACACCTGTTAGTCAGAGTTCAGGGTAACACCTGTCAGTCTGAGCTGAGGGTAACACCTGTCAGTCTGAGCTCAGGGTAACACCTGTCAGTCAGAGTTCAGGGTAACACCTGTCAGTCTGAGCTGAGGGTAACACCTGTCAGTCTGAGCTGAGGGTAACACCTGTCAGTCTGAGCTCATGGTAACACTTTGCTCTTCCGCAGGGGTCCATCGCCATGGAAACAGCAAAGGCGACGTCAACAGGAAGTGATGTCACGACGTGTGAATGTTTAATTAAAGGATCATTAAAATATAATATTTAATTCAAGTGAACTCTAAAATGTTTTCGTGGCTCTTTGTTCATTTGAGTGAGAAAGCAGATTCATTTGAATGGGTTTATTTTTAATCACTTCTGATTGGTGGAAAAACAGACCTGTACAAAACACACGACTTCCTGTTTACAGAGAAACACAGAACAACGAGCAATAATCAATACGTCTCAGTCTGTCAGTAATGATCAATGATTCATGTTTTCGTAATGAGAGGTCATCCCATCATTACAAATATATCAATATAATAAACAGAGTTTCTCCTCTCAGACTGTCATGAAGCTCAAATTTACTGAAACCACACAGCGTCCGCTGTCTCACCGTGAGGCGTCCGCTGTCTCACCGTGAGGCGTCCGCTGTCTCACCGTGAGGCGTCCGTTGTCTCACCGTGAGGCGTCCGTTGTCTCACCGTGAGGCGTCCGCTGTCTCACCGTGAGGCGTCCGTTGTCTCACCGTGAGGCGTCCGTTGTCTCATCACCCGTTGGAGGCGTCCCGCTGTCTCACCGTGAGGCCGTCCGTTGTCTCCACCGTGAGGCGTTCCGCTGTCTCAACATCCACCGGAGGCGTCCGCCTGTCTCACTCATCTCACCGTGAGGCGTTCGCTGTCTCATCACCGTGAGAGCGTCCGCTTGTCTCACACACCGTGAGGCGTTCGCTGTCTCACCGTGAGGACGTTCCGTGCTGTGCTCACCGTGAGGCCGTCCGCTGTCTCAGTGTGAGGCGTTCGCTGTCTCACAGTGAGGCGTTTCGCTGTCCATCACCGTGAGGCGTCCGCTGTCTCAGTGTGAGGCGTTCGCTGTCTCCACCGATGAGGCGTTCCGCCTGTCTCACCGTGAGGCGTTCGCTGTCCTCACCGTTGAGGCGTTCGCTGTCTCACCGTGAGGCGTCCGCTGTCTCAGGGTGAGGCGTCCGTTGTCTCACCGTGAGGCGTTCGCTGTCTCACCGTGAGGCGTCCGCTGTCTCACCGTGAGGCGTTCGCTGTCTCACCGTGAGGCGTTCGCTGTCTCACCGTGAGGCGTCCGCTGTCTCAGTGTGAGGCGTCCGCTGTCTCAGTGTGAGGCGTCCGCTGTCTCACCGTGAGGCGTCCGCTGTCTCACCGTGAGACGTCCGCTGTCTCACCGTGAGACGTCCGCTGTCTCACCGTGAGGCGTCCGCTGTCTCACCGTGAGGCGTTCACTGTCTCACCGTGAGGCGTTGTGAGGCGTTCGCTGTCTCACCGTGAGGCATTCACTGTCCTCAGGTGAGAGTGGAAGATCTGGATCTCTGCAGAAACGGATGAAATAAAGACAGACAAGACAAATGTATTGATTTACGTCATTTTTCCTCAGAATTTCCCTCAAGTTTTTGCCTCTTGCAGAAATTATTCACATGACTCTCAATGATCACATGACTCTCAATGATCACATGACTCTCAATGATCACATGACTCCCAATGATCACATGACTCTCAATGATCACATGACTCCCAATGATCACATGACTCTCAATGATCACATGACTCTCAATGATCACATGACTCTCAATAATCACATGACTCTCAATGATCACATGACTCTCAATGATCACATGACTCTCAATGATCACATGACTCTCAATAATCACATGACTCTCAATGATCACATGACTCCCAATGATCACATGACTCCCAATGATCACATGACTCTCAATGATCACATGACTCTCAATGATCACATGACTCTCAATAATCACATGACTCTCAATGATCACATGACTCCCAATGATCACATGACCTCACCTGCACAGATAGGCCTGCAGTCATTCCACAGGAGGTCCGTCGACGCTCTCCTGAGAGACCTCCGAGTCCAGAGAGTAGCAGGAGCTGCCGTTATCCTGATGGTCTCTGTTGGTGTCCTCAGAGGGCGCCGCCCCCCCCCAACGAGGCCCCACCCCCCTCCGGGCGGCAGGGGGCGGGGCCTCTGTGTCTGCAGCGCGCCGGGCGGCCGGTGTGAGAGTACATGTGCTCCTGCAGCGCCGCCCGGTGGCCGAAGCGACGGCTGCAGACGGCGCAGGAGATTTTACGTTTTCTGGCAGCAGGAGTCGGGCTGACCCCGCCCCCCCGACTCCTCCTGAGCTCTGCAGCAAGCTGATTGGCCAGCGCCTGGCTCTGCCTCAGCGCCTCCTGCAGACACCCTGCCTCCCCCTCCTCCTGACCCCCCTCCTCCCCATGTCTGAACAGGTGCTCCCTCAGGTCCTCGGGGGAGGAGCAGCAGTCTCCACAGCGCGGACACATCAGGACCAGCTGTTTGAACAGGACTCCCCCCTCCCCCTCCTCCCCCCCCTCCTCCACCCGCTCCTGCTTGATGCGAGCCGAGATGTCCGAGTCGTCTCCGGAGGCCACGGAGCAGACGGTGCGCGGGGGGGCGTCCTGGCGCTCTGACGGGACCTCATCGCTGCAGGAGGTCTTTGGGGCTCCCGCCTCCTTGTTGGCCAGCTGAGAGGAGATCTGGATGCCGTACAGGTTGGACATGCGGAGCAGGTCTGCCTCGGACTCGCCTGCTTTGCGGCACAGCTGGTAGGCGTGCAGGAACTTGATGCCGTCCTGCAGCCGGCTCTGATCCACCGGCTGCGTGGGGCAGGAGCCGGTGTACATGATGTGCAGCAGGTAGCTGAACACGTCCGGCTGGATGTCCGAGGGCTGGATCTTAATGCACTCGCTGAGGACAGACAAGAGGACACGTCAACTCCCTGCGAGTCCTGTTAGTGTCTCAGTCGAGTCCTGTTAGTGTCCCAGTCGAGACCCAGTCGAGTCTCGGTCGAGTCTCAGTCGAGTCCCGGTCGAGTCCTGTTAGTGTCCCGGTCGAGTCCTGTTAGTGTCCCGGTCGAGTCCTGTTAGTGTCCCGGTCGAGTCCTGTTAGTGTCCCGGTCGAGTCCTGTTAGTGTCCCGGTCGAGTCCTGTTAGTGTCCCGGTCGAGTCCCAGTCGAGTCCTGTTAGTGTCCCAGTCGAGTCCTGTTAGTGTCCCAGTCGAGTCCCAGTCGAGTCCTGTTAGTGTCCCAGTCGAGTCCCAGTCGAGTCCTGTTAGTGTCCCAGTCGAGTCCTGTTAGTCGCCTGGTCGAGTCCCAGTCAAGTCTCAGTCGAGTCTCAGTCGAGTCTCAGTCGAGTCCTGTTAGTGTCCCAGTCGAGTCCCAGTCGAGTCTCAGTCGAGTCTCAGTCGAGTCTCAGTCGAGTCTCAGTCGAGTCCCAGTCGAGTCCCAGTCGAGTCTCAGTCGAGTCTCAGTCGAGTCCCAGTCGAGTCTCAGTCGAGTCCCAGTCGAGTCTCAGTCGAGTCTCAGTCGAGTCTCAGTCGAGTCCCAGTCGAGTCTCAGTCAAGTCTCAGTCAAGTCTCAGTCGAGTCCTGTTAGAGTCCCAGTCGAGTCTCAGTCGAGTCTCAGTCAAGTCTCAGTCGAGTCCCTGTTAGTGTCCCAGTCGAGTCCCAGTCGAGTCTCAGTCGAGTCTCAGTCGAGTCCTGTTAGTGTCCCAGTCGAGTCCTGTTAGTGTCCCAGTCGAGTCCCAGTCAAGTCCCAGTCGAGTCTCAGTCGAGTCTCAGTCGAGTCCTGTTAGTGTCCCAGTCGAGTCCTGTTAGTGTCCCAGTCGAGTCCCAGTCAAGTCCCAGTCGAGTCTCAGTCGAGTCTCAGTCGAGTCCTGTTAGTGTCCCAGTCGAGTCCTGTTAGTGTCCCAGTCGAGTCCCAGTCGAGTCTCAGTCGAGTCCCAGTCGAGTCCCAGTCGAGTCCCAGTCGAGTCTCAGTCGAGTCCCAGTCGAGTCCCAGTCGAGTCCCAGTCGAGTCCCAGTCGAGTCCCAGTCGAGTCCCAGTCGAGTCCCAGTCGAGTCCCAGTCGAGTCCCAGTCGAGTCTCAGTCGAGTCCCAGTCGAGTCCCAGTCGAGTCTCAGTCGAGTCCTGTTAGTCGCCTGGTCGAGTCTCAGTCGAGTCCCAGTCGAGTCCTGTTAGTCGCCTGGTCGAGTCCCAGTCGAGTCTCAGTCGAGTCTCAGTCGAGTCCTGTTAGTCGCCTGGTCGAGTCTCAGTCGAGTCCCAGTCGAGTCCCAGTCGAGTCCCAGTCGAGTCCCAGTCGAGTCCCAGTCGAGTCCCAGTCGAGTCTCAGTCGAGTCCTGTTAGTCGCCTGGTCGAGTCTCAGTCGAGTCTCAGTCGAGTCCTGGCTGTACCTGGACTGGTGGATGAAGATCATCTTGAAGTAGTTGGAGAAGGCGGCCAGCACGGCGCGGTGAGCTTTGAAGTAAACGTTACCGATGGCAACGGTGCAGTCACACAGGAAACCAAACTCACGCTGAACATTCAGCTGCTGCAGCAGGAAGAGGCTGTGAGAGGACACCTCCATCACCTGACACACACACACACACACACACACAGTCACACACACACACAGAGTCACACACACACACACACACACACACACACACACACAGAGTCACACACACACACACACAGAGTCACACACACACACACACACACACACACACAGAGTCACACACACACACAGAGTCAGACACACACACACACAGAGTCACACACACACACACACACACACACACACACAGTCACACACACACCACACCACACACACACACACACACACACACACACACACAGAGTCACACACACACACACAGAGTCACACACACACACACACACACACACACAGACACACACACACAGACACACACATACATACACACACACACACACACAGACACACACACACACACACACACACAGACACACACACACACAGAGTCACACACACACACACACAGAGTCACACACACACAGAGATTCAGACACACACACAGAGTCACACACACACACAGAGTCACACACACACACACAGAGTCACACACACACACACACACACACACAGAGTCACACACACAGACACACACACACACACAACACACACAACACGACACCACACGACACACACACACAGCGACACCACACACACACACACACAAGACACACACACAACACACACACACACACACACACACAGAGACACACACACACAGAGTCACACACACACACACAGAGTCACACACACACACACACAGAGTCACACACACACACACACAGAGTCACACACACACACAGAGTCACACACACACACACAGAGTCACACACACAGAGATTCAGACACACACAGAGTCACACACACACACAGAGTCACACACACACACACAGAGTCACACACACACACACACACACACAGAGTCACACACACACACACACACACACACACACACACACACACACACACACAGACACCACACACACAGACCACACACACACACACCACAGAGACACACACAACACACACACACAACCACAGAGACACACACACACAGACACACACACACACACACACACACACAGACACCACACACACACACAGACACACACACACACACCACACACACCACACACACACACAGAGACACACACACACACACACAGACCACACACACACACACACACAGAGACACACACACACACACACACACACACAGAGACACACACACACACACAGACACACACACACACACACAGACACACACACACACACACACACACACACACACACACACACACACACACACACAGAGACACACACACACACACACACACACAGACACAACACACACACACACACACACACAGAGACACAGAGACACACACACACAGACACACAAAACAAAATAGATTCAGAATATGAAAATGAATCAAAGCTCAATCAAAATATTGAATCAAAGTTGAAACAAGAGGTTTCATTATTATCAGGTAACAACAACAACATCAACAACAAACATCATATCAGTCACCTCACTCACACCTGACCTCAGTGAAGGTCACACACACACGCACATGCACGGACACACACACGCTGACACAAACTGCAAACCTGCCACGCGCGCGACCGAACAGCCAAAGAGCTCTGCGCGTGCACGTGGTGTCGCGCGCTCAGGCTGCAGCCTCCTCCAGATTCAGAAACACGCGCGGATCCTCCCGCCCCTGCACGCGCACACAGTCCGACTGTGTCGTGCACGCGCGTCGTGCCTGGGGCCGTTAATCGGTGTTTTACCGGGAGATGTGCAGGTTTACCGGGAGATGTGCAGACGGTTTGTTGCTGCAGATGATCTCACGAAAAACCGCGTCACATCTCGCGAGAGGACGGATCACAGACAGGTCACGTGATCATAGTCTCAAAGAGGGGAGTATAGTGTTTCAGAAAAAGAGACAAAAACATGAAATAAATACAGAGTATACAGAGAGTACACACAGTATACAGAGTACATACAGTACACACAGTATACAGAGTACACACAGTATACAGAGTACACACAGTACACACAGTATACAGAGTACACACAGTATACAGAGTACACACAGTATACAGAGTACACACAGTATACAGAGTACATACAGTACACACAGTATACAGAGTACATACAGTACACACAGTATACAGAGTACATACAGTACACACAGTATACACAGTACACACAGTATACAGAGTACACACAGTATACAGAGTACACACAGTATACAGAGTACACACAGTACACACAGTATACACAGTATACAGGGTACACACAGTATACAGAGTACACACAGTATACAGAGTACACACAGTACACACAGTACACACAGTATACAGAGTACACACAGTATACAGAGTACACACAGTATACAGGGTACACACAGTATACAGAGTACACACAGTATACAGAGTACACACAGTATACAGAGTACACACAGTACACACAGTATACACAGTATACAGGGTACACACAGTATACAGAGTACACACAGTACACACAGTACACACAGTATACAGAGTACACACAGTATACAGAGTACACACAGTATACAGAGTACACACAGTACACACAGTACACACAGTATACAGGGTACACACAGTACACACAGTATACAGGGTACACACAGTATACAGAGTACACACAGTATACAGAGTACACACAGTACACACAGTATACAGAGTACACACAGTATACAGAGTACACACAGTACACACAGTATACAGGGTACACACAGTATACAGAGTACACACAGTATACAGGGTACACACAGTATACAGAGTACACACAGTATACAGGGTACACACAGTATACAGAGTACACACAGTATACAGGGTACACACAGTATACAGAGTACACACAGTATACAGAGTACACACAGTATACAGAGTACACACAGTACACACAGTATACAGGGTACACACAGTATACAGAGTACACACAGTACACACAGTATACAGGGTACACACAGTATACAGAGTACACACAGTACACACAGTATACAGAGTACACACAGTATACAGAGTACACACAGTACACACAGTATACAGGGTACACACAGTATACAGAGTACACACAGTATACAGGGTACACACAGTATACAGAGTACACACAGTATACAGAGTACACACAGTATACACAGTACACACAGTATACAGAGTACACACAGTATACAGAGTACACACAGTACACACAGTACACACAGTACACAGGGTACACACAGTACACACAGTATACAGGGTACACACAGTATACAGAGTACACACAGTATACAGAGTACACACAGTACACACAGTACACACAGTATACAGAGTACACACAGTACACACAGTATACAGGGTACACACAGTATACAGAGTACACACAGTATACAGGGTTCACAGAGTACTCACAGTACACACAGTACACACAGTACACACAGTACACAGGGTACACACAGTACACACAGTATACAGAGTACACACAGTATACAGAGTACACACAGTACACACAGTACACACAGTACACAGGGTACACACAGTACACACAGTATACAGGGTACACACAGTATACAGAGTACACACAGTATACAGAGTACACACAGTACACACAGTACACACAGTATACAGAGTACACACAGTATACAGAGTACACACAGTACACACAGTATACAGGGTACACACAGTATACAGAGTACACACAGTATACAGGGTTCACAGAGTACTCACAGTACACACAGTATACAGAGTACACACAGTATACAGAGTACACACAGTATACAGGGTACACACAGTATACAGAGTACACACAGTATACAGAGTACACACAGTATACAGAGTACACACAGTACACACAGTATACAGGGTACACACAGTATACAGAGTACACACAGTACACACAGTATACAGGGTACACACAGTATACAGAGTACACACAGTATACAGGGTACACACAGTATACAGAGTACACACAGTATACAGGGTACACACAGTATACAGAGTACACACAGTATACAGAGTACACACAGTATACAGAGTACACACAGTACACACAGTATACAGGGTACACACAGTATACAGAATACACACAGTACACACAGTATACAGGGTACACACAGTATACAGAGTACACACAGTACACACAGTATACAGAGTACACACAGTATACAGAGTACACACAGTACACACAGTATACAGGGTACACACAGTATACAGAGTACACACAGTATACAGGGTACACACAGTATACAGAGTACACACAGTATACAGAGTACACACAGTATACACAGTACACACAGTATACAGAGTACACACAGTATGCAGAGTACACACAGTACACACAGTACACACAGTACACAGGGTACACACAGTACACACAGTATACAGGGTACACACAGTATACAGAGTACACACAGTATACAGAGTACACACAGTACACACAGTACACACAGTATACAGAGTACACACAGTACACACAGTATACAGGGTACACACAGTATACAGAGTACACACAGTATACAGGGTTCACAGAGTACTCACAGTACACACAGTACACACAGTACACACAGTACACAGGGTACACACAGTACACACAGTATACAGAGTACACACAGTATACAGAGTACACACAGTATACAGAGTACACACAGTACACACAGTACACACAGTACACAGGGTACACACAGTACACACAGTATACAGGGTACACACAGTATACAGAGTACACACAGTATACAGAGTACACACAGTACACACAGTACACACAGTATACAGAGTACACACAGTATACAGAGTACACACAGTACACACAGTATACAGGGTACACACAGTATACAGAGTACACACAGTATACAGGGTTCACAGAGTACTCACAGTACACACAGTATACAGAGTACACACAGTATACAGAGTACACACAGTACACAGGGTACACACAGTACACACAGTATACAGAGTACACACAGTACACACAGTACACAGGGTACACACAGTACACACAGTATACAGAGTACACACAGTATACAGAGTACACACAGTACACACAGTACACACAGTACACAGGGTACACACAGTACACACAGTATACAGGGTACACACAGTATACAGAGTACAAACAGTATACAGAGTACACACAGTACACACAGTACACACAGTATACAGAGTACACACAGTATACAGAGTACACACAGTACACAGGGTACACACAGTACACACAGTATACAGAGTACACACAGTACACACAGTACACAGGGTACACACAGTACACACAGTATACAGAGTACACACAGTATACAGAGTACACACAGTATACAGAGTACACACAGTACACAGGGTACACACAGTACACACAGTATACAGAGTACACACAGTACACACAGTACACAGGGTACACACAGTACACACAGTATACAGAGTACACACAGTATACAGAGTACACACAGTACACAGGGTACACACAGTACACACAGTATACAGAGTACACACAGTACACACAGTATACAGAGTACACACAGTATACAGAGTACACACAGTACACACAGTATACAGAGCACACACAGTATACAGAGTACACACAGTACACACAGTACACACAGTACACACAGTATACACAGTATACAGGGTACACACAGTATACAGAGTACACACAGTATACAGAGTACACACAGTACACACACTACACACAGTACACAGGGTACACACAGTACACACAGTACACAGAGTACACACAGTACACACAGTACACAGAGTACTCACAGTACACACAGTACACAGAGTACACACAGTACACACAGTACACAGGGTACACACAGTACACACAGTACACAGAGTACACACAGTACACAGAGTACACACAGTACACACAGTACACAGAGTACTCACAGTACACAGAGTACACACAGTACACAGAGTACACACAGTACACACAGTATACAGAGTACACACAGTACACACAGTACACAGGGTACACACAGTACACACAGTACACAGAGTACACACAGTACACACAGTACACAGGGTACACACAGTACACACGGTACACAGGGTACACACAGTACACACGGTACACAGGGTACACAGAGTACACAGAGTACACACAGTACACAGAGTACACAGAGTACACAGAGTACACACAGTACACACAGTACACAGAGTACTCACAGTACACAGAGTACACACAGTACACAGAGTACTCACAGTACACACAGTACACACAGTATACAGAGTACACACAGTATACAGAGTACACACAGTACACACAGTACACACAGTACACACAGTACACACAGTACACACAGTACACACAGTACACACAGTACACACAGTACACACAGTACACACAGTACACACAGTACACACAGTACACACAGTACACACAGTACACACAGTACACACAGTACACACAGTACACAGAGTACACACAGTACACAGAGTACACACAGTACACAGAGTACACACAGTACTCACAGAGTACACAGAGTACACAGAGTACACACAGTACACAGGGTACACACAGTACACACAGTACACACAGTACACACAGTGAACATGTTACTGAAGAGGATTAAAGTCTAAAAAACAGAGTATATATTCAGGATCTAAACATTATGAGATTTATTTTGAAGGCCGGCATTCGGACCGGAAGTGTTTAATTGCGTGCTGCGCAGAGGAAGTGCGCAGAGGAAGTGCGAGAAGAAGAAATAAAATATATTTTTAATAATAAATAAAAACGTTACAAGACGGAGTTTTAACTTAAAGAGACATCAACATGTGTACTCTCTGATAAACTAACATCATCTTTATTTCTCCATGTTTGTTCCCGCTCTGCTCGCTCACTTCCCCGGATGATGACCTTTATTTTGAAGGCCCGGCATTCGGACCGGAAGTGTTTAATTGCGTGGTGTTCGGAGGAAGTGCTTTGATCTTCAGCAGCAGGAGAAGAAGAAGAAGAGACGCTTCCTGCAAGAGAGAGAGGAGGAAGAGAGAGAGAGAGAGCGAGAGAGAGCGAGAGAGAGAGAGCGAGAGTGCGAGAGAGGAGCTCCGGGAGTTACAGCGGGAGTTTCCGATCAGCGCAGCCGGACAGAGACGCCCCTCCTCGGCCTCAGATCTCACGGTGAGTCGGTGTGTGAGCTCCAGGAAACACAGGCACTCACGGCCTGTTGTTTGCGGGGCGGTGCGGGGGGGGGAGAGGAGAGGGGGGGGAGACTGTGTGCGGGGGACATCACGCATCGAGCTGTTACTACATCTGGATTTTCAAAATAAAAGACAAGCTAGAAGTTGTTGTTTTGTTTTTTTGTTTTTAAATGTTTTTAATGTATTCTACTATTTCAAACATGTTCAGACGTTAGTAATAATATCATAATGAAGCCATGAGATGTGAGTCCTGCTCAGGTCACTCGGTTGGACTGCTTGATGCTTTTATTTTGGAGGACTGGCCGCATTAACTTCCGGTCCAGTTGCTGTTAGCTTGACGCGGATAACCACCGGATCTCCATTTTAGCTGCGGAGTGATCTACAGTAACAACACCTAATATACAGAGCGGGAGAAATACTCAGGTCTAGTTCTTCAGTAAAGTAGAAGTACTCAGATCTGGTACTTGAGTAAAAGTAGAAGTACTCAGATCTGGTACTTGAGTAAAAGTAGAAGTACTCAGATCTGGTACTTGAGTAAAAGTAGAAGTACTCAGATCTGGTACTTGAGTAAAAGTAGAAGTACTCAGATCTGGTACTTGAGTAAAAGTAGAAGTACTCAGGTCTTGTACTTGAGTAAAAGTAGAAGTACTCAGATCTGGTACTTGAGTAAAAGTAGAAGTACTCAGATCTTGTACTTGAGTAAAAGTAGAAGTACTCAGATCTTGTACTTGAGTAAAAGTAGAAGTACTCGGGTCTTGTACTTGAGTAAAAGTAGAAGTACTCGGGTCTTGTACTTGAGTAAAAGTAGAAGTACTCAGATCTTGTACTTGAGTAAAAGTAGAAGTACTCAGATCTTGTACTTGAGTAAAAGTAGAAGTACCAGAGTGTAGGAATACTCTGTTACAGTAAAAGCATTCAAAATGTTCCTCAAGTGAAAGTAGAAAAGTATTCTCATCAAAATATAGTGAAAGTAGAGACAGTAAAAGTAGTCATTGTGCAGATTGGTCCATTTCAGAATAATATATATGATATGTTTTATAATGATTGATCATGAAAGTGTTCTCAAAGCTGGTAAAGGTGCAGCTAGTTTGAATGACTTTGTATACTGCAGGTGTAACCGGTGTGGTTAAGCGGTCTCTGCGTTGTGTTGATAATGGACGAGACCCGAGCCAGCAGTTGAGACGATCTGTTTAATGACTGACAGATAAAAACGATCAGTTTTACATCAGTTCCCCTCAGTGACTCCTCTCACGTGCAACGTTTACAAAAAGGGCCGAGGAAACGGGAGGGACACAATATATAGGGGGGAAAGTCCTCACAACAATGAACTCCTGAGCACAGCGACCACACTTCAGAGGCTCCGCCCACTGATCTCCGTCCTTGCCAGGTATTTCACATTCAATAAAATGAAGAACACAGAATAAAATAATATAAAACACAGAATTTGTGTGATTATACAATATTAAATAAAATAAACCCCACTGCATATTTACATCTGTTACACAGGGTAGCTTGTGGAACTAAAGTCTGATTTAACACTTGATTATATTTCACATCATTCATCCACATCTGGGTTAGGGTTAGGGTTTTTAATGATTTGTAGATTTAACTTTAAAGCAGCTTAAAGACTGAAGTCAGATCACAGCAGAGACACTTCATGTCTTTAATATGCAGCCAATCAGAGAAGGGTTAACATGCTGTGATCAGAGCTAATCAATAACCCTAATGTCTCTGTTCATGTCTCTCACGGCTGCACAATATGTTTGATCTTTGGTCGGTCAAAAGATGGACCTTTGTTATGCTGTTGATGATGATGATGATGATGATGATGATGATGATGTGATGATGTGATGATGTGATGATGATGATGATGATAGGGCCGCTCGATTATGGCAAAAATCATAATCTCGATTATTTGGGTCAATAATTGATATCACGATTATTAAAAACGATTATCCATATACTTTGAAAACATCCACTTATTGAAAGAAGCAGTGGATGATCCTGAACTTTAAGAATCATTCAACTGAGAAACCGATACTAAAATAAATAAAATAAAAATAAATAATAATAATCGTTTTATTTCGATTATGTTGTTTTCATAATCGTTGCAAGCCAAAATCGTAATTGCGATTAAAATACGATTAATTGAGCAGCCCTAGATGATGATGATGATGATGATGTGATGATGTGATGATGATGATGTGATGATGATGATGATGTGATGATGATGATGTGATGATGATGATGTGATGATGATGATATGATGTGATGATGATGTGATGATGATGTGATGATGTGATGATGTGATGATGATGATGATGATGATGTGATGATGATGATGATGATGATGATGTGATGATGATGTGATGATGTGATGATGATGTGATGATGTGATGATGATGATGTGATGATGTGATGATGTGATGATGATGATGATGATGATGATGTGATGATGATGTGATGATGATGGTGATGTGATGATGTGATGATGATGATGATGTGATGATGATGTGATGATGTGATGGTGATGATGATGTGATGATGATATGATGATGATGATGTGATGATGTGATGATGTGATGATGATGATGTGATGATGATGTGATGATGATGTGATGATGATGATGATGATGTGATGATGATGTGATGATGATGATGATGATGTGATGATGATGATGTGATGATGATGATGTGATGATGATGTGATGGTGATGATGATGATGTGATGATGATGTGATGATGTGATGATGATGATGATGTGATGATGATGATGTGATGATGATGTGATGATGATGATGTGATGATGATGATGTGATGATGATGATGTGATGATGGTGATGATGTGATGATGATGTGATGATGTGATGTGGTGATGATGATGATGATGTGATGATGGTGATGATGTGATGATGATGTGATGATGTGATGATGATGATGTGATGATGTGATGATGATGATGATGTGATGAGATGATGATGATGTGTTGATGATATGATGTGATGATGATGTGATGATGATGATGTGTTGATGATGATGTCTTGGTGCTTGCAGGCGATGGCGAGGCCGAGCCACAGCGATCACGTCCTCCAGCAGCTCAACAACCAGCGCGAGTGGGGCTTCCTGTGCGACTGCCTCATCGCCATCGGGGACATCTACTTCAGGGCGCACAAGGCCGTCCTGGCCGCCTGCAGCTCCTACTTCAGGATGATGTTCATCCGGGACCAGCAGGGGGCGGGGCGCCTGGACCTCAGCAACATGCAGATCAGCGCCGAGTGCTTCGACCTCATCCTGCAGCTCATGTACCTCGGCCGCATCGTGGTGGGCAGCTTCGAGTTCGAGGAGCTGAAGGCCTCCATGGCGTACCTGCAGATGTACTACATCCCCGACTCACTGGAGGACCTCCGAGACATCAGGAGCTCCAACCCAACCCCGTCTTCCTCCGCCTCCTCGTCCAGTTCCTCTTCTGGCACCACCGCCGGGAAAATGATGTTCGGAGTGCGCATGTACGAGCAGCCACCAGCTGCACAGGAAGTGGAGACCTTACCCAAAGCTGCCAGCAGGCCGGCGGAGGAGGTGGCTAACGCTCCTCTGAAGGTGGCTAACGCTCCTCTGAAGGTGGCTAACGCTCCTCTGAAGGTGGCTAACGCTCCTCTGAAGATGGCTAACGCTCCTCTGAAGATGGCTAACGCTCCTCTGAAGATGGCTAACGCTCCTCTGAAGCTGGCGCCGCCGCTGGGGGACGGAGCAGCCGATCAGCCATGTGACTTGAGGAAGAGGCCCGGCGGCAGGAGTTCGGCTCTCAAAGACCGCCCTCGGTTCGGCCGCACTTACACCTGCGACGACTGTGGCTTTGTCTTCAGCTGCGAGAAACTTCTGATCGAGCACATCCTGACCTGCACCAACCGGAAGGCCTTCAGTCAGCCGAGAGGCAACGTGGAGGGGGAGGCAGAGAGCTCCGCCTCCGAGAGCACTGAGGAACACAGGCTCGTCTGTAAAGGCGAGGACGACTGGTCCGACTCCGCCCTCAGGTCTGTGGCAGCCGGCACCGACGGAGAGCCCAGCTCCACCAGGACGCTCTCTATCAAGACCGAACCGGAGGATGGCGCGTTCCCTGAGATACAGATGGTCCGGGTCGGTGAGCACGCCACCAGAAGCCGTAGATCACGGCTCAGTGACGCGGCACGAAACAACCTGCAGGGTGAGAAAGCAGCCTCCGACTGCGACCCCGAGCCCGGCGTCTCAGGCGAGCCTTATGAAGGCCACATGTCGGGCAGCGAAGAGTCGGGAGTCCCTCCAAAGCTCCGCAAGCTGAAAGACGAGAAGCAGGACGGGGACGGGGCACCCTGTGAGCTCTGCGGCACTCTGTTAACGGGCGAGGACAAGTCCGCCCACTACCTGTCCAACCACATGGGTCACATCTGCGCCTGCGGGAGGTGTGGCCAGGTGCTGATCAAAGGCCGGCAGCTGCAGGAGCACGCAGAGCGCTGCGGCGAGTCCCTGGGCGGAGAGTCGGAGGACGAGGCGTCGCTGCCGGAGGAGCCGCAGGGGATGGAGGTGGAGGCAGCCGACCTGGCCTGCCCTCACTGCGGGAAGCTGTTCCAGAGCGAGGGCCTGGCGCTGGACCACGCCCTGTCCTGCCACGAGCAGGAACAGCTCCGCCCCGTGCTGCTGGAGGAGGGCGAACCGGATCACCGCCGCAAACACTTCTGCAGCATCTGCGGCAAGGGCTTCTTCCAGCGCTGCCACCTGCGGGAGCATTACACCGTGCACACCAAAGAGAAGCAGTTCACCTGCCAGACCTGCGGGAAGCAGTTCCTGCGGGAGCGCCAGCTGCGCCTGCACACCGACATGCACAAAGGCATGGCGCGCTACGTGTGCCCCGTCTGTGACCAGGGCACCTTCCTCAAACACGACCACGTCCGACACATGATCTCCCACCTGTCCGCCGGGGAGACCATCTGCCAGGTGTGCTTCCAGATCTTCCCCGGCGGAGAGCAGCTGGAGAAGCACATGGACGTCCACCTGTACATCTGCGGCGTCTGCGGGGAGAAGTTCCGCCTCCGGAAGGACATGCGCAGCCACTACAACTCCAAGCACACCAAGAGACTATAGGACATGCGCAGCCACTACAACTCCAAGCACACCAAGAGACTATAGATACTCAAGAAGCCATATGTGGGAGAACCAATGAACTCCAACACCAAAAAGAAACTTGCACTTTGAGAGAACCTGAGCAGCTGCAGCCGGTCAGGACTTCCTTGGGTCCCTGGTCTGAGGAGAGACACTTTAGGAACTGCTGCAGGTCTCTCCACAGCTCGCCCGCCTTACTGGACCTTTACTCCTGATATTTAATACTGGAGCTGCGGTTCTGTCCAAAAGCCCAAAGAGATGAAGCCTCCTCACCGCAGGAGAGCCCTCCATGAAACCAGCTCATCACGTCACGTCTGAAGTGCTGGACTATAAATGTATATGAACCGGTTGTTGGGGGGGGGTTCACCTGATGCTCCGTCAGCATCCTGATCACCATATGAGTCTGTCTGTAGAACCTGGACATGTAGAGACCCCAAAGTGTTCTGATAGAGATGTAGAGTAGGGTCTCCAGCACATAGAGACTGCTGGATGCTAACCTGCAGATGCTGGGACATTAGCACAGTTAGCATATTAGAAATGTCTTGATGTCCTCAACATGTCCGGGTCTCACTGCTGTGGGCGGACTGAGGTCTGGTCCGGGTCCTGCATACGCTCCAGGTCTGACAGGTGTGTCTTCATCAGGTTTTATATGCACACACATCTGGCTGTGTGTGGGACCCCAGGGGGTGAGGGTCTCCGTGTGGACAGAGTCAGGTAACACACTGTGACGATTCGCACCGCGCGAGTGGTCCGTCATAAACGTATAAAGTCTATCTTTAAAAAGTGTGTTGGTTTATGATCACTTATGATCACGTGTGATCATGTGTGTGTGATCACGTGTGTGTGATCACGTGTGTGTGATCACGTGTGATCGTGTGTGTGATCATGTGTGTGATCACGTGTGATCGTGTGTGTGATCATGTGTGTGATCACGTGTGATCATGTGTGTGATCACGTGTGATCACGTGTGTGATCATGTGTGTGTGATCACGTGTGTGTGATCACGTGTGTGTGATCATGTGTGTGATCACGTGTGATCATGTGTGTGATCACGTGTGATCATGTGTGTGATCACGTGTGATCGTGTGTGTGATCACGTGTGATCGTGTGTGTGATCACGTGTGATCGTGTGTGTGATCACGTGTGATCGTGTGTGTGATCACGTGTGATCGTGTGTGTGATCATGTGTGTGAAGTGGCCCTAAAGCTGAGAGAGCTTTCAGATTGAGCAACTGATCTAATAACAGAATTCTTCAATCACCTTTAATGAAAACTCTTTTTTGTCATTTCCTGTTTCCAGGAATCTCAACAGACAATAATTAGATATTAAATATGAATGCCATAAATGATTGCATACATTTAGAGTTTCTAATGTTTCCAGTGAGATAGCTGTCAGTCAGACGTTAGTTAGTTCTCACTAAGAATGCACTTAACCCACTCAGAGGGTTCCTTCTCAAAGAATCAGGAAGTTGTGAAACAATAACTCTTCTCTCTCAGAGGAATGTGCTCGGGCTTCTTCTTCTTCTTTGTGAAACGCCTCTGTGTCAAATGTCCCTCTTGGGTTGCTGTACGTCCAATAGGAGGACCAACTCTGGACGTGCAGATCAGTCACAGGCAGGTGCACGGTGTCAGTGTCACGCTCCTCACAGTGATGCATGCTGGGGGGTTTCAGGCCTCATGTCCTGTGTTCACTTTGAAGTTCTCAATAAACCAAGTCTCTCTCTGTTGGAGGAAATGTGTCTGTTATTTTAGCTGAGGATCATGAGCAGCTCAGGTGAGGATCATGGCTCAGAGTCCTGAGGATCATGAGCAGCTTCAGAGTCCGTGAGGATCATGAGCAGCTTCAGAGTCCTGAAGGATCATGAGCAGCTTCAGAGTCCTGAGGATCATGAGCAGCTTCAGAGTCCTGAGGATCATGAGCAGCTTCAGAGTCCTGAGGATCATGAGCAGCTTCAGAGTCCTGAGGATCATGAGCAGCTTCAGAGTCCTGAGGATCATGAGCAGCTTCAGAGTCCTGAGGATCATGAGGCCAGAGTCTAGCAGTCCAGAGGATCATGAGCAGCTTCAGAGTCCAGAGTCCTGACGATTGACTCGGCGTTTACCGAGAACCTGAAGTGCTCCGAAACCATGAGAGCAAAGATCTGAAGTATTGATTTCATGTGTTTCAATAAACTCTGTGCAAACAGTAAAGTCCACAGGTGTTTACCAAGCAGTGTGTAGACGGGTGTACTCAGATCAGAGGGGGGGCAAGTACTCAGATCAGAGGGGGGGGCAGTACTTAGATCAGAGGGGGGGGCAGTACTCAGAATCAGAGCGGGACAGTACTCAGACCCCTGTAGTCAGACCTTGTTCTCCAGACCCTGTAGTCAGACCTTGTTCTCAGACCCTGTTCTCAGACCCTGTACTCAGACCCTGTTCTCAGACCCTGTACTCAGACCCCTGTTCTCAGACCCTGTTCTCAGGACCCTGGACTCAGACCCTGGACTCAGACCCTGTTCTCAGACCTGTACTCAGACCCTGTACTCAGACCCTGTACTCAGACCCTGTACTCAGACCCTGTACTTCAGAGAGCCGTGATGGCGAGCAGCTGGCTGGTGTTGTTGGCGCTCTGTGCCGCCGTCCGGGCTCAGACCCCCACTAAGGACCATGGAGACGACCTCCTGAACCCGGAGATAACCACAGAAGAAGAGCTGAGGGTCCTGGTGCAGCAGCTGGTGGCCCGGGTGGAGAGCCTGGAGCGAGGTGAGGCGGAGACCCTCTGGAGACCCTCTTTATCTGAGGCTCCACTTTGGGGGTTATCTTCTGGAAGTGAACGCTTTCTAAAAGATGCACATTAGGTTAACGTTGATTATAGTAATAAGAAGTGTGTGATGTCCCCGGTGTATTGTGAACATTAGCATCTGTTAGCACGTGTCTCTAAACCTAGTGGGTTCTGTGCATTGGACTCCTTTGTTTACTCCAGGAACATAATTATAATACACTATCATCAGTGGCGGCCGGTGGTCTTTTTTTTTGGTGGGGCTCTTGACGTACCGTAAGTGACCTACCCGGGGGGTTTCCCCCCGAACATTTTTTTCGAGAAATGACCCCTTAAATGATGACTTCTGGTGATGTTAGAGGGGGGGGGAAAGGAGAAAGAAATCGAGGCTTAAAAATAGGAGAAGACTGATCAATACCTCCATAATCTTCAGTGTGGAAAATATTATTTATCAACCTGAACATCTACTACTTTACCAGGAATTTGTGTTCTCAGAACTGGTCTGTTTTTTTCTTTCTTAAAACTGTTCATGTTTTATGAACCAACACCTCCACCAAGTAGCTTTACAGTGAACTGCATGTGAGATATAAAATTAATAGCATCTTTTCAGTAGCATTAATTATAAATATTTAAGTGGTTCAATACAAGTCACTACAGCATTTCAAACTGAACTGTGAATAAATGCAATTTAAAAAAAATAACCACAGCACAAAATGTCATAAATTGTGTTTTTTTCTTTGTTTCTCTGAGGATTATTTACAAACAGGCTTATTTACATATAGCAATAACTCAGAAATGAAAAAGCTACATCGTCTAACACGAAACAACCAGTTAGCATAATGATAATATATGTGTTATGTACAATGTAACTGGCAAGGCTAGAGCAAAGAAAGAACATAAAGTTTGCAAAAGGTTTAAATAACTTCAAGTATCTGTCTTCAGATTACGTGGAGGTTTTAGTCCGATGGAAGCAGATTTTAAGCGACACCGAAGATAAACCAAAAATTGTGGTGGAGCTGCAAACCGTGTTGTAGTGTTGCTGGGACAGGACAGGAGCTATAACCGTTGGAAAATACATCACAGACAATGCAACAAACGTGGAGACAGAAACAAATCACTTCTGTGATAAATGCCCACTTATTAATAAACTTCTAACAACCATGGGAAACCTCCTCTCTACAATAAAGTGATATCCAAGCATGGGAAACAAAAGACAGCATTTACCTGTTTGCATCCAGTAGCCAAGCCTTCTTGTGTACCAGCACTTGTGAAGCCTCGTGTATAAATGTTGTCTTTTTCACGAGATTGCTGCGATATATTCAAATCGGGTTGGTCCGGTCCAAGGTCTTTAAGCAACAATTTATCTGCCAACTTCTCCTTTCGAAAGGATTGGAGATTAGCTCTTGAACAGAATTAGCCGGGGGACCGAGGTCCGGAGACTCCACCTGCACACGAAGCCATCCTCATCAACTACTGCGTCAACCGGATACGAGTCCACTGTCCAAACTACTCACAGACTGCACTGGGCGCTGACATTGGGCGCCCGGTGACCGTCATCTTTGACGACGCTGATTGGCTGAAATTATATTTTCGCGGCCATAGTTACACGTTTACAGATAGCAACAGTCAGCTGCTGGTGGCTGCTGCTGCACTGGTTGAAGGCTCCTCTCTTAGCGCCCAGACGAGAGAAGGTGCATGGGCAAGTCCAGGCAGGAAACATGTGACTTATCAGTAACTTTAGACATCGTAACACAATTTTAAACGAGATTTTATTGTAGATTATACATTTTACTGATACCAATTATATAATATTTACCTTGTTCATTAAAAATAAAAATAAAAACATATATATTTTTTTAAACATATCTTTTTTTTTTAATTTTAATTTTAATTATTATTTATTTTTTTTTTTTTTCAATATGGGAAGAGGTGGGGCGGCGCCCCTAGCGCCCCTATGGACCGGCCGCCACTGACTATCATCAACTAACAAAGCTATCCCTTTGACATCAGGACAGCAGAAAGATCACACATCTTCCTGAGCAGACTGAAGACTCATCTCTTTCCACTCCACTTTGAGCGATAGAATCACTAACAGAGCACTTATATACTAACAGAGCACTTATATACTA